GTGACCCAAAGAGCGACTTCAGCATAGGATGGTTAATGTTCTTTTGAATCCAGGAAGATTATTCTTTGAAACCCCCCCCCAAGATTTCTTAATCCAAACGCATCCTGATCATGCTGACAGACTTACACCTGTTTTAGACAGGCATTTTAGAGTCACACAGAACCAAATTAAAAGCAAATTTTGAATTGAGTACTGCAAAAGTTCGAAGTCTGAAACAATCAGGAGTGACCAGGCCTGCATTCTGTCAAAAGATCAACACTTGAAGGCACTCGGAAGGACACCAGAGCCACCGGGTTTCAGACGTCGCTCTTTTCAGGCGCCGAACCGAATGCAAATGTATGAATTAATTTTGTCTGTCTGAAACCAAAATTTAATTGTGTCAACCTTAGTCGCTCTTAATTTTATCTGGTTTGGCGCAACCCTAAAACGGCAGTCTGTAAGTTAAACTGTCACATGTTGAAAAACTAAACAAATATTGGAAAATGTGTTTCTTTTCACTTAACAGTTTGATACGAAACGTTTATCTGAGTCAATTTGAAAAGTTGCTGCCATTTTGGCACCAGTCTGTGCCCTGAACCTGTCAGCACTGCCCCAGGCCTTATGTCAGGGTTTCACATACGGATTTCAAGTCCCAGGGTCGGGGGTTAACACTAAAATATAGTTTTTGGTACAGTTGCAGAGCGTACCCCCCACTGCTTACGTTTCCTAGCTTGGAGCTGGCCATGGAGTCATGCTTGCTTGATAGCCCACCAAAAACAGTTAACATGCCATCCGACGTTCACAGGAGTTTGACATACGTGCACATGCAGACTCGTATGACATCCACATCTTGGACTTTCCAGTTGGTATTATCAAGAAACGTGTGATCAGTCCACATGTATAGTGGATGAGGCTTACCGGAACGGTCTGCTCTGAAAATTCACTTTCACATAAGGGGCTGACATTTGATCCCAAATAAAGTGTTAATTGTCCTGAGAATGCTGTCTGGCTCTTTGTTCCTCAGGTTAACGTTCCCAAGGCAAGGCGTACCTACTGCAAGAAGTGTAAACATCACAAGATGCATAAGGTGACGCAGTACAAGGCCGGCAAAGCCTCTGTGCACGTCCAAGGTAAACAGTCTCTTTCCCACTGTGATGTCTGTGTCTCTAGTCTGAATTCCACTTGGTGGACATTTAACTCCAAGTATTGGCACGTTGACTGCCAGTTATGAATAGAGTCGTAGTCACAGGTGCACCGGATTCTGCCACTACAAGTATACTCCTAGGAAATGAAAAGCGATTGTAATATAACTCGAATACATTGCCATCACCAAAAAAGACCACAAATATGCTGTTTCAGTGTGGAAGGTGGACATCCGTAAAATGCTCAAGTTCCAACAGACACCTGAAAGGTACCTATTAAATATGTGCGCATGCGTAAAGTGTTTGGCAAATGGGAATACCCCTTTGAAATTATGCATCGCAGTCAACGTGTTAAGAACGTATAAGCATGTTTGGTGGGGGGGGTCATTAAGTTTGTGGAGGGGTTGGAATTATAATTCTTACATCTTGTTGACAAGACAAAGATCTATGAACATGACAGGGAACTGGCCGTGCTGACTTGGTATGAAGGCTGTCCCCTTATTGCCATGTCTGTTTTATTTTTAAAGGAAAAAGACGTTACGATCGTAAGCAGACAGGCTACGGAGGACAGACCAAACCTGTCTTTCACAAAAAGGTAAACAGTGTTGTATCTTTTTACCTGTTTTGTATGAATAAGTGATGTCGATTGTCTAACCCTTGCTTTCTCATGAGACTATGGACTAACGTACAAGTGTTGAAGTGCTCTTTCGAGTGCAGCGGAGCAAGGGTTCAGGGAGTTTTTCGTTTACAGTCTTCAATTTTATTCCAAAATTCAAACAGCTTTAGAGTTATTTTGAAAAAAAAAAGTGATCACAAAAAAAGGTATCAAAATGTGTTGAAGCTTTCGGGTAGTACCTGTTTTCCTATTTATTAAGCTGTCAAAAGTGAACTGCCGGCAGCACACCGTAAAAGTAAAAAATGCCCTTCATTTCTCAGGACTGTCCATAATTTTTCTCTTTTAACAAATCAATGTAGGAGATAAAAAGGTAATTATTTTTAAAGGGAAAATCGTGTTTAAGACACAATCGTGGCCTTTGCTGTCTGAATAGATGCAAGCTTTAATAGCGGCCAGGGTTGTCGTCAATGACATCTGAAGATGTAAGAATGAATAGCCAGTGGTTTAGAGTATAATGGCGCGCTGGTCTTCATGTTGATCTTGATAAACGGTTCTTGTTGACCACTCAGTCCGTCTGTATATGGTTTTTTTAACGCCATATCATGCCAAATACAGCAAGATTCTGTGTAATTTGTCTGGCACAGCGAGGGTCAGGGTTTTACGAGGTCATGAAGGGGATGAGTATTAACTGTCGCCCTGGGTATGCATTCACTGCGTTTAGGCCAAGACCACAAAGAAGATCGTCCTAAGGATGGAGTGCACCGAGTGCAAGTTCCGCAAACAGCTCCCCATCAAGAGATGCAAGCACTTTGAGCTGGGAGGAGACAAGAAGAGAAAGGTGAGCTGTGGCTGTCGGGCATCTCAGGAGCAGCCTCAGAATCCTGGGATATTCAGAGACATTGGGTTAAACCAGTGACCTTGTTGAACAAGTCAGTCGTCATAGGCCATACCTGTAGAAATTGTCGAAATGCTTGAGGTGGTGGGGCTTGAAAGCCGAGGGGCAATGTAATGATTGTCAGCTTTGTGTGCCAATGGGTCAGTCCAAATTATGGATATGGGGGCATGTCATCTTTGTTTGCCAAAATGAAAAAAAAGTTTTAAAAAATAACAAAATGGTAAGGCACCTCATTCCAGATCATTCAGTGATAGGAATAGATTCCAGGAGGACAATCTAAATGGCCACTTCGTAAATGAGCAAAGGTCACACTCCAGACGCATTCAGAGATGCAAGCCTTTCCAAAATACTCCAAAAGTCCCAGTAGCACAGGAAACTTGCTCAGTATTTCGCCCCAAAAGGGCTGACTGGGGGAAATGAAAGAAGTGGGCTGCACTGGCCTCTAAATGTAGGGATCCTCAAGAAAGACTCGTGGAGTTTGAAAGGTGGAGAAGAGTTAATCCCTAACAGCTAGCCACATTTAGCCTTGCTGAGGAGATGCCCACATGTCGATTCCTCTTGATTGGGAGAGCCTTCATCCGTGGCAACAATTTCCAGTGACAAATTCCTTTCCATCCCAATGTGAATTGACACATTCTTTCAATACACCCCAGCTCTCCCTATGGTTGGCACTCACTTATGTCCGGTTTCCTTGGCATGAACAATAATCTGACTGTAAATCTCACTGTAATCAGAATGAAAGCAACATTATTTTTTTGATAACATTTTTTTGACAAGTATGCTGCTCATTGGAACTTGTAGGTTTACGTGGCACATTTTGAGCTCCAGTATTTGACATTGGAGCATCTGTCAGCACAAGAAGGAGACTACTGTTTCCATGACTCCAACGTTAAAACACAAATACGAAAAAAAATGACAGAATCAGATTAACCAATTTTTTTTTGCGAGTAAATGGCAGTAGTACCTTGCCAGAAATATCTCTCTGAGTTTGTGAGATTCTGAAAAAAAAAGACTGGTGGGGTAAACATGTCATCTTGTTAGTCTCTTGAGTGGGTTGGGTCCCCTGTTCTTTTCTCAACCTCATCTACTCGCACGGAGATATCCCCCTACATGGTGTTACAAACCTGGTACTCCACAATGTTTCCTCCTTGCAAATTTTCAAATCTCAACCAATTTTCTTCGCTCTCTTTTCTTTGAACCGCAGGGCCAGATGATCCAGTTTTAGACCTGCTGAAGATCTTGGCACATCTAGGAACATGTCTCTCTCTTGGGTGCACCAAATATTGCAGAATCCAGACCTTTTTTGTCTCGATGCATGAAGGCAGTGTGTATGAATTCCCTGACACTGGGGCCTACAGTGGGCAGGGCTAGATCCCAGCAACGTAATTAGATTACACAATGTGGTAAAAACTGTGTTAATATTAAACCAGCCGTCAGAAATGTAAACTCATTTTTGAGTTGTGTGTGATTTCTTGTGTAAAGTGTGTTACTCCAAACAAATTAAACCTATCTGGCTCATGTGGTTTTTCAAGTGTCATATTCATGCTTCAAGCTAGGTTATGGTGGTTTTCAATTTTTTTGCATTGCCACACCTAAAAAAGTGCCAGTTAGTGTTAGTATGAGAAAGTGCCTACATTTTGGGTTGATTTGAAGTGCATTAATTTAAGCTGCGGTTGGTTTGGGGAAGAGAATGGGGAAAATTCTTTGGGATGCCAGAATGTTCCTTGAATTGTGATGATGAAGAGGTGACATTACAAAAATGGTTTAACAAGACTCACAGACGAAAAGGGGTGCTTGGGGAAAAATTGTGGGCCATGCAAGGAATGAGAATTGAAATGCTATTTACCTGGCTACGAAGACATGTTGGACACTAGAGTTGTGCAGTCGTGTATTCGTAGAATTCTATGGAGGTAGGGTGTAATGGTTGTGACCGTTAATGGGGCAATCAATTTTGGTCGTACAAATTCCCTCGTCACTGCCAAGCCAACCTCGGGCATTGTCACAGTGTCAAGGATCGGGGGGGGGACAAGCCGTGTTGATAACGGCAACATTTCAGCGTACAGGTGTTTGCTGTGGCACACCATTACGATGGGCAAAAAGCACAACTTTATGTACATGTGTAGACGAACTGCCAGTTGGCTTCGGCAGGAATAGCACAAGCATGTATGAAAAGTGCTATCCAGAGGCGGCAGCCATTTCACATACATGTATTGCCAGGCGTAGCCAATTAATTCGGACACGGCTTTGGGTGCACTGAAAGTTCTCCGCTAGGCTGAGGCGCTTAAAAGTAACCCTATATATTCTTTTGAAAAGAGTCTTTGTTGACCAAGAAATTGTGGGATTGTGCAAGTACAGCCCAGGAGTATCTCTATGGATTCAGGGGCATCTATCCGGGGGCAAAGCAGACAGAAATGTTATTGAAATATTGCCAGAAGAACCTGAGAAGGTGGACGGATGTCATTTGAAAAATGGCTGCTGAGAGGACTTGGGAATGTTCACTTTTGGGGGCAAGTTTGTTTTTGGTGGATAATTAAAACATTCATCTTTTAACCTACTAGAAATCGAAAATCGAATGAAATCTGAAGGACTAAACAACACCTTTTTTGTTCGAGAGGCCTCGGGGACTTCAGTTGCCCGCAACGGGGCTCCGAACTTAGATGATTTTACACTGTTCAACAGAGTTTGAATTAGTTCAGTGCACCCTTTATTTTACTCTTTGCAGCGCCCTCCTTTGCCCGGCCCATGAACCTACCGTTGACTCCATCATATCCACGTAACACACCGTTCATCTTCAACAGCGCCCTCTATTCAGTTGAAGTTGGAGACTGAGCAGGCATACCGCGCCGGCGGGTGGTATAGCATTTTTTGCCGTTGTGTGTCTCCTGAGGGTGCACCCAAACAAAAATTAATTCCCATGGACACCAATGATAAATCCTTACATTTCAAAATAAATTTTAAAATACAAATTCCACAGGTGTCCAGGCTGGAAAGAAAAATGATAGTCGACATATCCTCTTCCATTTTCTTGTCAATTTTTAGTGTGTTGACAGATGGATTTTTGAGAAATTGTCACCCAAAGCAGACTACCACTACAAGGAAGGAATTTCACTGCCCGGAAAATTAGCCGTTTTGAACATGCATCCCTCTGCAAAACGGCTAAATAGTGACACGTGTGGACCCGATTGCACCAAAATTGCTCAGAATTGGAAGTCCAGGCTACAGTTTCGGAGCCATATTTCTTCAATTCCTCAATTCCATGGCACCCTGGACTCTCTCATATAGAATATTTTGAGGGTATAACTTTTATTCATGAGGTCGGCGGACATATTCATGGACTACTTGCGGGGGTGCGCCCCTTACTGTTTCTAAATTGCAATAATAATAATAACTATTGTACATGTACTTTGTATAACAACTGTAAGCTGTGGTATATGGATATGAAAACAGTCGATCAGCATTGCTGATTGTGTAATGGGTTCCACCTGGTATATATATTTCATAGGGAGCTTCTGTAATAACCATGACAACGCAGGGAGTGGAAATAATCTTATACTTCAAGATTTTTGCAAGTTTGGCTTGGTTAAAGTTTCCCTTTAATACAGATCACAAGCATGCGGATTCAAGTCACCCCCCCCCGAAAAAAAAATTTGAAAATAAAACTACAACTAAAAAGAAAACCTACAGAAGATCGTTTTATATTCCACTGATCTAGCAGCGGTATCTTTCTGTCTTTTTTCAAGTTTATCTTATTGTCATTATTTTATTTACGTCTTAAAATCTTGGATTGTCAAATTCGGTGACAAACAACCCTTTTGTGGACACCGGCGCGATGCGCGCTCAGTACGTACGTGATACAGCACGTACCGTACAGTTAGTTTACATTGGACAGCGGGTACCCGGCAACATCTTGTTTGGGGTAAGCAGTTTGTGCTGGTAACCATAGTGCATGTATAAATCACTACCTTTTTGCACGTGGGGCCAATGGCGACAACGTAATAACAATCTTGAGGACGAAAGGCTGCCATCTTGTTTCGTGCGTCGGATTTTGACAGGACGTTGATTGGAATTTTTCCTTTGCATCTCTGCATTTGGAAGGTAAACTGGGTTTCAGATGTTGGAGTTTAGCATAAATTCACAGCAGGTACTACCAGTTCGAAATAAACCGTGTACTATGTAGGCCTAGGCCCTATACATAGCCTAAAAAGTAGAGGGCTCAGCCTGTCACGTTAGTGTCACAGACATTGTCAGCCATGTCAGCGTTCAGCATAGCAGTCAGTCTGAAAATTGCGTCGGTCATCATCTGATCCCGTCATTGTCAACATTATCAGTCATGTCACGTCAGCATGGTCAGTAGGTCATGTTGGTGTTGTTTTAACCCTACCTCCATGACCCCTTCATGTACATGCTGACCATAGAAATAATGTCTGTGACCATAATCGTTACCCCCAGAAGTGTGGAGTCTGACGTCTGCTCTGCGCACTCCCACGATATCTGGGGGTTCGTAGTCGCAAGGTCTCAAGATAGTGTAGACTAACTTAGTCATGTTGTAAGTAGCGAAATAAGGGACCTGGCGACTAGACTAACGTTATATACACCATTTGACATGTCTGGTCATGGTCGGTAGTAAATTTGTATGGAGCTTGTAGGTGTTGTAATTAATGTTAGGGCTATGGCTTTGACATGTCCGTAGCTCTGTATTCCTAGCTTGAGCATGTTGATAGGGCCTAACTCTTGTTCATGCTGTTGCATAAATAGCTATTTCAAAATTGCAGTGGGAAGTTCAGATTATGGTTAAACATAGTTAAGAATAGGAGCTGAATAGGCCTAGGCCACTATCATTTTACGTGCTCATGAGTGGTCAAGGTGCTCTTTACTCAAACGTCTCTGGCCCTAAGTTCCAAGTGTTACTGAGGGGTTCCACTAAATTACAAAAGCACAGGGCATGCAGGGTTAGGCGATGTTATCACCCTGTATGTACAACAATTTATTTTAGTGACAATACAACAATAAGGGTGTAAAAATGTTTTCTTTTAAAAAACAGTCAAAGGGGATGCTGGTTTTTTTCTTGACTAAACATCTGAAAGATACAGAAACTAAATAACCAAAGAATTCATTGGTTAATTTAGGAGAGTAATTTCCTTAAATTATAAATCCAGGATGGGTTCTAAAAAATGTACATCAGAATGAGGGTTCAAGACTTTACCATTGCTGAATAATTATTGGCAATGGCAACATGCGAAGAAGAGAATGTTCTTTTTGATTTGTTCCAGATATACCAGTTAATTACCTTCAAAATGAAATTTTACATTGCAGTTTACAAAATAATACAATTTGGATATTCACCATGTTCTAGAACAAAATGCCTAGGTGTTTTCATGAAGAAAAACCATTTATATTTGAGGATCATCCGAAGTCTTTCTATGCTGATTCTAGCAAAGTGAAAATTTGATGCACTTAATGTTTCGCAAGAATGAAAATGACAGCAAAATTATTTTCTAGGATTTTCCGTATAATGGATGCATATGAATGTTTTAGAGGGAAATGTCTTTCATCACCCAGTTAAATAAAACTATACAACATACATTTACTTCAGTAATTTCCAATTGCCACTAAATAATTTAAGCAAAGAAATCAAATTGATAATTCACACAGTTGAATGGTTAAACACGACTATCAGACTTGCTTTATAATTTCGTGAAATACTGACATTGTAAATGCAATTATGAATTAAATGGCCCTAAATTGGATAGCAAAAGACACAACATGAACAATCGGAATTTGTGGTATTAAAATCTTGCATAAGAAAGTTAAGAACATGTATTTTTATTTAAGGGTCAGTTTCCTCACGACTTGGACTGCCTGTTCATGCCTCTCCCTTTCTGGAAGACAAGAAGTAATTGTCAAAAAGCTACAGACAAAATGCAATGGCAAAGATGCCTGTATTTTAATATAGGAGTGGAGGAGTGTAGTGGCAGCTAAGCCTCTTCGATATTCATTGCTTTTCATATCTCGATATCATGAAAAAATATCGTGATATCCGATATCATTGTGATGTCATTTTCCATCCATGAAATAAACTCGACCGAAATCACCACGTCTCGAGAGCCTCGTTAAGAAGAAGGAAAAAAAACCGATGTGCAGGCCTTTGTATTATCTGTACATTTAGAACTCTTACGTGCTGGGGGAAAGCAAATTTCAACATGGAAATTGTGGACATTAGACTACGAAAAAATCCATTTCCCCGCACGCATTAGCGGTAAAGTTTGCTCAATAAGGCAACCCCCAAAATGGACAGCACATGCGTGTTACTAGAGGGGCTACTGGTATTGACGCCCTCACCTCATTTCTAAGTCGTCATTTATTTCTCATAAGTCAGCATGTGTCGCTCGGTCCCTTTTCTACAAGACCAGAAAAAATCTTTCGTGTAAGTCGGCAATAAAAATATCATGC